AAGCTCGTTAAATAAAAAAAATATTATACAAGAATCTTTAAAATTTAGTCTTTACGATCTCAATAAATATGTATAAGTAAAAAAAGAAGAAATTCTTTTCATATTAAGAATCACATACATATTAGGAACATTTTCCTATTTAATTTTCCGAATCTATATTTTTTCTCTTTTTTAACTTCATATTTTACTTTTCTTTTTTTTATATATAGAGGAAAAGTGTCCAATGTCGGGAGATATATTTTTGAGAAAAAGAAATAAAAAATTAAAAACTCGTTCAATAAAATAACAGAAACACATTATCCAAAGGTTTTTACAAATTAAGTAACTATATAGATATATGGACTAGAAAAATTATCTCTCCATATTAGAAGCTATCTCCATATTATAAACTTTTAACTTTTAGACTACAGTCTTACATCGTTTTTAACTTTATATCTTTATGTTTTTTTGCTTTTCTCTGTAAATCATTTTTTAAATGTTTTTTAGATGAATTTTTTTAGATGATGTTAAGATTTTTATTTTTTAGATGTTTTTAATTCCTCCAGTAAATCTTGTAAAAGTTTGTTTCTATTTTCTTGAATTTCATTATTTTTTTCAAATGTCTTCCTTAATTCTATAATTTCTGTCGTACGTTTTTCTTCTATTTCCTCATTCTTCCGACGGCGTTCATAGAGAGCTCTGTTTCTGATAGCACAGTCTTTCATAGAATATAGTTTGCGCCTTGGTGGCTTAAACCTATTATCTTCATTTTGTTTATATTGCTCTTCACTACTTATTGATGACTGTATATCATCCGAATCTGAATTATATTCAGTAGGAGATATAAAATCATAAGAATCACACGATGTTGAATCTGTCGAAGCAATTCTTGACTTTGTCGACAGTGATACGGAACATCTTGACAATGACATTGAGTTTGTTGAAGGTAGTGTAGAATCTTGTGATGGTATGATACATTTTTCAAAGGAAGAAGTCGGATCTGTTGACATAGAACTAAAATTATATCGTGATGTCTTCAAATCTCTTGATGATATATTCATCAAGTCACAATTATCAGATGACACTGAAGTCCACTGTTTAGCCATTTTTTCTGAATCCTGTTGAACAAATTATTAGAATAATTTATTTTTTATTGTTTTGCACCAATTTTGAAGCAATTCTTAGAAGAGGAATAAAAATACGGTATATATGATTTTTGAAATATCTTAAGAAAATTTTGAAATCCCGACCTCGCACAAAACATTTTAAAATGTTTCTCATCAGAAAAATATTTTCCACAGCGATCAAACATTTGAAATTACTGATGGAAATATTTATCGAAAATAATTATCCGGATGATAATTCAAAAAATTATCCTTCATAAATATTTTTATCAGTAATCTCCAACTTTTAAACGTTTATTCTGTAAAACTGTATATTCATATATTTTCTTACATGTGGTTTCAATGTGCATTGCATAAATGACAATGTTGGTCCGATATTGATTGTTTTATCATCAAAGAATATGTCAAATGTTTTAAAATACATCAAATGTTTTAAAATACTCCCAGGTTATTCTTCCTCGACCGCTTAACTTTTGATTATCTTTGATTGTTCGATATGTTTTTTTCATATTTCTCATTTTTCTATCTAAAATATCTTCCGTTACATTGTTATAATTGTGTTTTCTAAACTCATTAACAATTTCAGTCTACAAGGTCTTCTTTCTTATTTTAGGATCTCTAAACTTTTCCTTGCGTTCTTGAAATAGATACAACAAAAATTTTGTATTTTCATTATTCCAGTAAAAATTTTCTTTGTTGACATCTGGAAAAAAATAAGAATAAACAGTTCAATAGTTGTTTCAATCATTATTCAAAAAACATATTGTGAATAATCAAAGTGACTTTTAGCATTAATAACGAAAAATTAAGTAATTGTGAAAGAATAGAAAAGTTGGAAACATCTAGAAATACTTCAAGATATATTTCTTTATAATAAACACATATAATATATTACATGTCGTTTCATTTTGTATGGAAATTTGATCTGCACATTTATTGTCTGAAGTACAGTCATCATTAAAATAGACTTCCATTAAACTTGGATCTGTAATAAAGCAAATTTTAAGATAAAATATTTATAAAACAACATTGCATTATAAAGTTATGTTATGTTATTACAGGAAATCTATATGTTCATACAAGACTTAAGCAGAATAGCTATCTTGTGAACTTACGACAATGTGTAATACAGTTTAATTATTGTTAATTTAATATTTTTACATGTATAAGTATGTATAAGTATTTCTTACACTTATAAATATTTCTTGTAAATGTTAACAAAATAATATACATGATTAAGGTTTAAGGATCGATTGTTCCAACTTCTTGGTAAGTTAATTGATAGTTAAATTATATCTCTGTCTTTGTTTTTCCTTCAAATTAGGTAAAGATAAACATATGATTTAATACTTAAAAACAATTATGCCTTACATTTTTATTTTAAGGCATAATTGTTTTTAACCATTAAGTCAGCCATTAGTTTAAGCCTTTACAGATATTATACTAGTAATAACAAAACAATAAATCAAAATATTTTT